CTCGACCATTTCGGGAGGCGCCTGGACCGAAATCCTGATCTGCCTTTCCGGTCGCCCCTCATCCAAGGGGATCAACAATTCTTCGTCGGCCGCCTCCGCTCTGGGCGCCTCCTCGGACGTAATCGTATTGATCCTTTGACTTTTACGCGGCCGCACGCCCTTAAGCATAGTATAAATGGGGGCACCTCTTCCTCTTGCGATACCCACTCCCTTCGGCGCTATGAACTTCAACGTCTGATGACAAGTGGACGCCACCCCATTGAACAAGGCCAAAAGGGGCCTGCCGAGTATAGCATTGTAGGGGGAGGGGCAATCCACAATCCCAAAATCGATAGCATGAGTGACCCGCTGCTCTTCATCGCCCAAAGTAACAGGGAGGCGCACGCGCCCTATTACCTTCGCGGGCGCCCCGGAGAACCCGACGAGCATCGAGTCCGACGATCGAATTAAGTCAGGAGACAAGTGCATGCGCGCTACCGTATCCTTGAACAGCACGTCCATGGAACTCCCCGTATCCACGAGCATCCTCTTTACCATGCACCCTGCCACTATTCCTTGAATCTCCAGCGCCTCTAAGGAGGGGACCCCATAAGCTTCATCAGGCACCTGATTGAAACTAATGCACACCCCTTCGTGTCGATCAACCGATGCTGCTCTTAGGCGCCTGCTAGCTTCCAACTTCTCTCTCAAATCTCCGGTGCCTGTAATCGCGTCCACCGTAAGCCTCACCTTCTCAGGCGCCTTTTCCTGATCTAGCTCGAATGGAGGCGGGGGGAGATCCTTCTTGGGCCCCGCTCGGGCCACATATGCCCTGTGCACCCTCTCTTCCGGTTTTTTGACGAACTCATTAAGCATGCCCCTGTCCACCAATCCTTGCAATTCAGTCTTCAACTGGTAACAATCAACTGTATTGTGCCCCCGTTCCCGATGGAAGTCACAAAATCTATCCAGATTTTGTGGGTTGGGTTGCCCCCTCATAGGCCCTGGCCATCTCACGTGGTACCCCTTATCTTTTACGTATTGCAACACGTTCTTTGGCGAGTCGTTAAGCTCCGTGAATTGACTCACTTTAGGCGCCGGGCGCCCCAGATCACTCCTCCGCACCGGTGTGACCGACGTTCCTCCGTAGAAAGGCCTAGACTCGGGCACCTGCCTTCGTCCATCTCCTTCCTCTCCCCTGGGTCGGCGCCTGTCGGCCCGCCTTGACGCCAGCGCCTCCTCCAACACTATAACTTTCTGCACCCTTCGATCCAAATCTTCCGTAGACACTACATCCCTTTTAGCTAGCGCCCGACAAAGTTCCTCACTGGTGGTGCACTCCTCGAGGAGGACTCCAAGCACCGGGGGCTTCACATCTCTCACCGCCATGGCCACCGGGATCCATCGCTCATAGAACTCCCTCAAGGTTTCTCCCTCCTTCTGCTTTATCTTAAATAGTGAGCCCACGATCAGTGTGCGCCTCTTCCTACTTGCGAACTTAGCCAGGAACATCGCCGCAAACTGCTCAAAGCATTCTATGCGCCCTTCCTCGATCTGATGGTACCAATCTAATACGACGCCTGAGAATGTTGAGGGGAACACCTTGCATAAAGTTGCGTCCGAACTGTTGTACAGCTGCATTTTGGTGAAGTAGCTGTTGAGGTGGTCGTCCGGGTCCGCCGTACCATCATAGGTGGGAAGCGGCGGAATGTTGGTACTAGCGGGCTCCATGAGCACGCTCCGGGCCAAAGGTTGCCTTACCACAAACTGTCGATGCGGACGCCCCGGCATCCACACATTCCTCTCTCCCTCCGAATCTCCGTAATCAGCCAGGCGCCTCATGCTGGCAAGGCGCCTCAGCGAGCTGGACTCCCCTTCAGCTTCCATCGTACGCTCCCTCTTCCTTGCTCCGGGACTTGGGGCGCCCTCCTTCAACATTTCCACCTCTCTCCTTAACATCCCAATGGCCTCGTCTTGATCAGCTATGATCTTGAACAGTTCCTTCTTAGTCACCGAGGCCCCATCTGAATCTGGGCGCGGGTCTTCACTTCCCTCATCCTCCCCCATGCTGGGCGTTCCTCCTCCTGCTTCTTGAGACGCCTCCCCCATGTGTTGCTCCTCCATCTCGCTTCCACCCTCCATTGAAACTAGGCGCTTTCTTGTTGTGTTCTCCCCTTCCTGGCGCGCCAATTGTTGAAGCCCACTCGATCGGCCTACTCTTCTTCCGTACCAGCTGACTCCCTCCCGATGAAGCCTGCACTCACAGAGGTGGGCCTTGTGGCCCGTTAGTCCTCCAACGCTCAAGTCAGTATCTTTCTTAGAGAGAGAAGTGCTTGCAATGCACAATTTTTAGTGAGAGAAGCCAAATTGAGTAAATGCTTACCCACCTCCCTATTTATAGCCAATTACTGCTTACCTGGACCTTCTCGTACGGATTTCCACGTCAGCCCTACATTTAATGCGGGCGACCCAGGGCGCTTCCTCCGAAGAAGATTCCAGGCGCCCTCTCCGAGGGTCCACAATTCCCACGTGCATACCCGGGCACCTACGGTGCGAGTACTCCTAGGCGCCTAGTGCATGCAACTCCCAACTTGCTCCTGATCTAAGCCCGTGGGCGCCTATCATGGCCTACACCATCTTGAATGGGCTCACCTTTCCACGAACTACTTGGGCTTCACGCCCTTTAATGGCCTCATACATACATCGGGGCTTCCTTATTCGTATACCCCCAACACTAACCAATGAAACCAATTAACCAATTAATGATACACGTACTTATACTTCCATGCAACCAACGAAACCAAACTTTCGTGATTCCCTATTTTATTTCCATGTGCACAACAAATCAAAGCATTATGAGTCAAAAATTAAATGGGCCTGCTTATTTACTAAACCAAAACATTTTGGACAGCTACTAGATTTTAGGATTACGTACAGTACTATGACATACACTTCAAATTATGTATAGTTTAAGTGTTTTGTAGGAGAGCATTAACTTCCTGATGAGTGGTATTGGTATGTATTTAATATTTATGTTAAGGGTTTGTTGTAAGCTAGTTATATTAGGTGCAGAGATGATGAATGATGTATTAACTCGAATGATGATGATAATCATAGATGATTAGTCTTATTATTATTGCTTATATATAATGATAGTTTATGATAGTAATAACATATGGTTATGTTTTATTCATTAACAATATAATTGTTTTCATGTAATGTTATGTTATTTAGTTAATCCGATTATCCAATTAACCAAATCAATTAAATTTTGGTTTGGTTAATTTGGTTTTCGTGTTAATTTGGACGGTTTGGTTAAAACATTTTATTCCATAGTTAATAAAATTTAGGTTTAATTGGTTTGGTTATTACCACTGTAACCATTTGAACACCCTAACCCTCAATCGTGGTCATTCAACGATCATAAAGCGTACAGGGCCCGCTCGGATGATTGTAAACGCTTTAATGCATTGTTGTAGATGGTGTTGTAAAAACTAAAAAACTTTACTTGGATTGCTCTAGCAGTAGAATGTGCAGTTTCTCGCTAAAACTGGACCAATTAGAATAAAACCATATGAAAAATAAACAGAAATAGATTATCGAAATCTCTTTGAAAGTTCATATGGTGTGATTGTGGTCTAAATTTTTCTTCATCGTTAAGAAATTATTCTAAAAACTGAAGTCGGGTCTCATTATCATCAACATAATCCAACTCGATTCTAATTTTTGTTTCGATCTGATTTGATGATCCAAAATGAACCGAATCATCATTATTATATTATAAAAGCATGGTAAAAGAATTAATACGAAAATCATTGGGTTCTTAAACATTAACAACTGTCGTGCTATGAAAACCATAAAAATATATGTGCCGATTCAGCCCAACGAGGTCAAACATCAAGTGATATTATTATTAACTACGAAGGATAAAAAAAATATTATTAATTAAGTAGTGGTAATAAATGTGGACAGTGGATGAAGATCTACATTCTACATCGCGTCAGAAAAAAAAAATTACTTACTGATAATCCCTCGTTAATTAAGGGAATGACCGACAGGTTGTTCATCCCTCCACATGCTACATCCAAATTTAACCGCCTTGTTGTTTTTCTTAATCATATGTTACCAAATTTACAGAGGAATATGATTGTTAAAAGACTTTGAAAAAGTAACTACAAATATTGACATATTCAAATTCAAGCCTTAGAAAAATAGGCTGGGTTCTCACTTAAAGTTTACAATCACATCAATTGAATTCTCATCAATATTCTTATCTAGTTGGTTTATGTGTTTGTAAAACTATCACCAAAAGTTAGTTATCTATAAAAGGAGTTTTTAACTACGAATTACAAGACAAATAAGTGAACAATTAATTGATGACTTGATAAATAATTGCTTAGGAAGAGTCATGTGGAAAGATATATGCATGTATATGATATTTCAATAATTGAATTTAATGTTACTCAATTTATACGATGTGTTTTGTTCAAAGAACGCCAAGGTAGAAGCAATTCGCATACGCTGAAGACAAGGCAAAAAACATATTTTTTTGACCGAGAATAGGTGTAATATGATAATTGACTAAACGAACTGCATCAACCACGACCTCAGCCAAAAACGACCAGGAACATGAGAATGAGAAGAGCTCTCAAGTCTCATATGTTCAACAGAACGTTACTCAATTTACACACATGGAAGCTCACTTATCTAAAATCTTGGTTGCATCATTGCTCACAAGTCACAAACCTCAATGTTGTGACTCTATCTCAGCTTGTTATTAACATGCTGACTTTTCTTCTAAACTCATAAGCTGTTAGATATATTCACTCATAAGTTGTTGGCCAAGCTTGCTCTCTGGTGAGCTTGCTAATTAGCTCAAAATGAGACAACTCACGGGTTGACAAATTGGCATCAATAAGCCGGCAAATTAAGTTTATTCGGGAACATCACAAGTTGAGCAAAATTTAGCTCAACCTCAATCTCTTCAATAAACAAGCAAAGTATGTTAGTAAATGATATATGATCCACAATTAAACCTCTCTCAATAACTCGTGTTTTTTAGATCAACTGATTTTCCCTGACCAAAGATCTCTTGTTCAAATCCTGATAACTCCTCGTCTGATTCTTGACAAAGTATTGCCACATTTTGCTTCATCCTAATTTCATTTTGGGCAGAATTAATAAGGAGGCAATCAGGCAAGAGCAAGAGCCAGCTGTAAGTAAACTTTTTATCTTTTTATGTATTGAACATTATGTGGTAGCAGGTACATATAGAAAAGTAACATTTCTTTACTTTTTTTTTTTTTTTTTGGGATTTGCTGATAATAATAATATAGATTGGTTTTGCTTCTACTACCAAGAACTCCTCATCACTAGTTTGTTCAATGTCCTTGGATTTCCATGTTCATCCCCCATCCCGGCCGGATAAAATGCCAACCATCTCTGCTTCGCCATTGCTTCTTCCCAAAATATTCCAACAACTTCTCCAGGCGCAGCAGGAAAGCAGAGATTGTAGGCAATTTAAACTCGAGGCAGAACATCATAACTTAAACCCAACATGGTGGGAGTTCCTTATTCTCAGCCATGGAAATTTAGCTATAGAGCTAGGAAGATCGCAAGTTGTGTCCTTTTTTAACTCTAGGGAGGAATGACGATGCCGAGGAACTTTGCAGAGGTACCCTGTTCTGCAACTCTGCTCTTTTTCGCCCTATGCGGTGGCTCTGGGGAAGAAGAGACGGAGGAAGATGCAGAGTCGTCAGATTGGTCGGAGCTGAAGCTCAAATCCATTACCCCATTTGGGCTCCCTGGAATCGAGTCCAACTTCCTCCGCTTCTTCCATTGGCTTCCGGATGATACCAATTCCATTATCAAATGTCCGCAACCATTTATCTGCTCCTGCCATCACAAGGATTCACAAAATCCAGTTCAGATTCGGAGATCCAACCCATTGTATACTTTTTTTGTTGGTCAAAATTGAAAATACCTCTTGGATTCCCAGAATGTCTAGCAACTGGCGTTGGTATTCAGCCCCAACAGAGGGCTCCTCCACGCCATTGATGACATGAAGCATTGCAGCCGTGGCCACTACAGAAGGTGCATAACACAATGACCTAGAATCTGTATGAAAAAAAAAAAGTAATAACAAGTTAAGAAAAAGAAGCAAACTTTCATATGGGTTCATTGTGGGACTAAAAACCCTCGATCGATTTTCCTTACCTGAGATTAGTGAGACGATTAACCGCTCGCATCGACTGACGAACTGAAAACAGAGATAGTCCTTGAGTCCCAGCCGCCTGGCCATGTAATCGAGGAACGACAATGGGGTAACAGGGTTCATCCGCCATTTCAGAGCAGAGAGCACCATAATCTCCATCCTCTGTATCGTCTTCGGCTCAAACAAATACCTACTCTCCCCAACCTGCAAAACCCCCCCAAAAAAGGAAAACGCAAAACCTTAGATTAATATCTAATCGGCAGTGAGGAAACTGTGAAATAGCAAAAGGGTAGGCGAAAATCGAAATCGACGACAAAATCAATCATACCTGTAGGTCGATTAGAAGAGGGACGCGTGTCTCCTCCACTTTGGCCGCAACAGAGAGGCAGGCGACGGCGGCGAGCTGGGTCATCCACGGCTTGTCGGCCTGAAGGTGGAAAGTGACAAGGAATCGATCGAGGTAATTGAGAGCCAGAACGGCGGTGAGATTAGCGAATGAGTAGTGCGAATTAACGGAGAGGATCCAATCCACGGCCTCCTGGCGCGCCCGGGCCAGAAAGGGGCTAGATTCGAGCTCTCTGTACAATGGGTTCTCCTCTTCTTTTGAAAACAGAGCAGAAAGCTCGTCGTCTTCCCAAGAGAACAACAACGAGTCCTGCTCCGGAAAGCAAACAATGGGGATTCCGGATTCGTTAATTTCATGGTTTTCATTACTCCAGCAGAAAGCAGAGCAAGTTTCTGGTTGCTCCTCTTCTTCATCTTCTACCTCGGGTGTCAAAATGTCCTCGAGGCAGTAGAGGTAGAGAGAGTCTTGAGATGATGGGCTGGCCATCTTCTTCTTCTGGTGAGGAAGAGGAGAAGAGGGTTGTGTGAATCTAGGGGCATTATTTGAGGGAGGAGAAGAGAAGGGGTGAGTTGTCTACAGATTGACGAGCCATTTTGGTTTTGCAGCTTTTCTTGCTGTGTCAATGGGAGAAAAACAGAGAGATTGGGGGAGAGTGGGAAGAGTGAGCAGTGAAGCGAGGGACAGTGGAGATGTGAGTGTGGGAGAGAGTTTTTATCTGTGGGGTTTTGAGATTGGACATTGGTATATTTAGGGAAAGAAAAGGAAAAGGAAGCTGCGAGCTTGCGACTGTGGGACTAAAACGATGGGTCGTCTTCTCCCTCCCTCTCCCACTCTTCTGTCACTCTCTCTGTTTTCTTTATCTTTTTTCCAATGTGAAATTAGCATTTGGAGTACCTATACTTCCTTACTCTTTTGTTTGGACACTTAATTTATGGTGGTTTACCCTTTATTTTGTTTACTTAGATCAAGTCCTTAAGGCCTCTTTTTTAAGGAAAATCTTAAACACCTTTCAGCCAATAGGAGAAGGAGAGAGAGTGATTAGTAATGATTGGTTAACTACCTACCTAATACGTTGAAGGGTAAGACAAGAATATATAAAATAATTAAATGATATTATTAATTAAGGAACGAATGGGAGAAATCATTCTCCTCCAACCCTAAACCCATTCATCCTTCAGAAATCACCGTCGGGGTCGCGCAGCCGGCCGGGCGTTTGCTTTGCGGTGCTTGGTTTCCGGCGTCGTCGTCTCGTTTTCTCGTTTGTCGTCGTTGACTCGCATCTAAGGTCGGTGTCGTCGCGGCTGTCGTCGTCTCTCCTTCTCGTCTGCCGTTCGCCGCGTTCGTAGACTACCGGCGCTTGCTTTCCGGCGTCGTCTCGTCTTCTCCTTCGTCGTCATCGTCTCGCATCTTAGTCTGCCGTTCGCCGAGTTCGTTCACTAATATTTTCCATGGAATCGCAAGCCCCTCGTCGTTGTCAAGTCACCATCACGTCGTCGTTCCATCTGCAAACTCGTCGTCATGGCTGCCTGGTCGCCGTCGTTTCCCCCGTTGTGACCATCTTCTCGCCAGATTCCCGTCTACATTGCCACCATCTTCTCGTCTGCGTGATGGGTGGTGATGATAATAACGCAAGGCTAAAGATAGATAATGAATGTTAAAATGTTAATAATGTAAGTTAGAATGAAAACAAAATGTTAATAACTTTGGTTAAAATGATAATAATGTATCTTAAAATGTTAATAACGTAGAATAAAATGGAAAGAATTTGTAATGTTAATAATGTAGTTTAATACATGTTGAAAGTGTTACAATAATTTGTTAAAGTGTTAATAACGTGGGTTAATATGATAATAACGTAGGTTAAAATGTTAATAACGTAAGGGAAAAGATTGGTAACGAATGTTAACATATTAGTAATGTGAGTTAGTGTGAGAACCAAATGTTAATAACGTTGGCTAAAATGATAATAACCTAGCTTAAAATGTTAATAACATAGGTTAAAATGAAAAAGCTCTTTTTTAATTACGTGGGTTAAAATGTTAATAACATGGGTCAGAATGATAATAACTTAGTTTAAATTGTTAATAAATAATAACATAAGTTATATTGAAACCATCTTTATATAACGAAAGTTAAAATGTTAATAATATAGCTATATATTATTGAAAGTGTAACTAATAATTTGTTAAAATGTTAATAACATGTTAATAATATAGGTTAAAATGATAATAATGAGACTTAAAATGTTAATAATGTAGCGACTGCAAAGGGAGGCAACGCCGGGCAGGACCGACGTCAGAGGTAAGCTACGCTCGGCAGGAAGACGACGACAACCGTTGAGGAGTAGCACGACGTCGGAAGCTGGGGAGCGCTGTCGGAGACGGAAGCGATGCCGATGCTAACGAGAGCAGTAGGTCGTTGATGGACTAGGCCGACGACGACAATGGGAGCTAGCAGCAAATGGCGGAGAACGCTTGCTGGAGCATAATCACTGGCCGGAGAGTTCAGCGGAAAGGAAGCTAGACCGGCGGACGGTCGCTCTTCTTTGCGGAGAAGGGTTGTTGTGAACAGAGACGGAGAAGGGACGGAGTCGTCGGCACGGAAGAACGGACGAAATCGTCGGCTGCCCGAGAAGGGCTGCTGTGCTTTGCGACGGAGAAGGGACGGAGAAGTCGGGGAGACGGACGGTCGCTCTTCTTCCGGGAGGAATAATAAACAGACTAAAGCAATGGGTTAAGGTTTTTGAAAAAAATACACATGTTTTAATTTAATTGTTTTCCCCTTAATACCCCTAACAACTTTTTAACTAATAACTCCCTATTAACTACCTAAACTTGTGTTAGCCAATCAGAAGGCTTTAAGTTCCTCCTTAAAAAAGAGGCCTTAAGGGCCTGAACTTAGGCCAGTATCGAAGGGTTCACATTTTACTGGTGTGTCCGATATTAAATTGTTAACGATTGGTACCTCGTAAACAAGAATATTATAAACAGAATACACATAACAACACACCAAATCATAAATTAAAATAGAATACATTACTAATAAACAAAGAGGATTACTAAAGTTCTAAAGTCGAAGCGTTAATGTTCTTCAAAATAAAAAGAAATTATATAATTATTATTAATATATTCCTATAAAACTTTGAAGTTTTAACTATGTTCGGATTTTTTTGAAAATAGGAAGCATTTTGACGTAAATACATTCGCATTTTTATCAATGCTATTTTTAAATTGTATGCACATTGACACAAATTAGCGTTGCCATAGTACGAAAAACAACTCATATTGTCTTATCTGTCTCCAAGAGGACCCCGAGTTTGAATCCCAGTGGTGAGACATTTTGTCACCAAGGCGACCGAAACGCTTGATCTGATCATCTGATTCATCTTGCTGGAGCGGGTCAATCGTTGGAACTGAAATGTGATCTAATGATTCACACAGATGGAAGTTAAATGTAGCAATCATATCGGATTGACAATCAATCACCGATCTTACTGCCGGTACCTATTAGTATGTAATATAAGTTAAATGTTGAACATTTTTCAAACAACTCAAGTTATTGAGATACTCTCATTCTCATACTTTGGTTTGATCTCTTATGCAACCTTCCTTTAAGAGATGCATACACAACACAGGCGCCCAATTCATGAGAGATAGGTCGGCGAGTGGTGGAGTCCACAGCCCAATTGGTATGCAGAAAGTAGAAAAAACATTATTGTTACATCGAAATAAACACGCCAGGGATAAATACAGGCACACATAATGTACGTGATGGCTCATAACTCCTCATGCGCATGAATTCCCTGTTCTATATATATACTTCAAACAAAGCTCTCAATAATTAAAAAGGATGTGATGATTGATTAAAACCAATTGCAATTATTCCTCCTAATTATTTGCATCATTCCGGGTTCCAAATTTGCATCCCATATTGGCTCAGTTTAGGTTTAAAAGGTAGGTGAACAACCTGTCACAATGGCTTAACAGAATATACCAGTTTGACAACAAATATTTGGTCGATACTGATTGACAGGAATATAAATTCAATTTACAACATACATTTACGAGTTATCGACTATCAAGTCGAGATTATCTCAAACATGCAATTATATTTTTCGGCCAATCATGTTAAATAAGAAATTTTTGGAAGGAAAATGACCATAAAACTAGCATGTGCATTTCCCAATAAGTAGGAGAAGGAACAGACCCAAATTTTCGTAGGAGGGAAATAAATGATATATATTTCGCATTTTGGCTTCTCTTCTCTTGTCTAGTGTTTTGTGCGAGTGCGATCTGTGCAGACACAAAAGCCCTATAGACTATAGTCGTAGTAGTTAATGGCTTCGACAGTCTGGCTGGCTCTAGTGTTGGACTGTTGGTAGTCTACTCTTTCCTCCTATTTCCTTCTTTCTAACCTTTTTTTTTTAATGTATAATAATATCAAGGTTTACATAAATGATTCCTGAAGTTTGGGTTTTTAGACTAATTATGTAGCATGACTCAGTGAACATGCTAGGGGTCGGATACTATGCTAACCCCTAAAGGGGTAGTGGTTTTTGACACCCTCCTCTTGATTGGTCACTTTTCCATTTAAGCTTTTTACTTTATTTATTGTAATCTTGTAAATTGGGAAAGCCTTAATTGTGATAATAATTATGAATGGGGAAGGAGAAAAACGTTGGTAATTATGAATGGGGAAGGATCTGGGGAAAAACGAAATCACCCCCATTAATTACATAATTAATTTCTCTCACTGGTACATTAATTACACGTACCACTCCACTGGTACACGTACCACTCCACTGGTACACGTACCACTCCAATGGTACACGTACCACTCCACTGGTGCGAGCAATCCACAAGGTAGGTTAGAGTGAGAACAATACCAGTGCAATGATATTTTTCATAACAATGATAAACAATAATAGGGAAAAAATAGGAACTTTCCATTAGTAGCAAAAAACTGTGTTCCAAAATGGGTTGCAAAATTAGGGAAATGCCAACAACAATGCCAAAAGCAATAAATTATCCTTCGAATGTGAATAAACATAAAGTCTTCACAATTTTTTAAGCCTAAACAGGACATATGGTTACACGTACCAGTGGAGTGGTACGTGTACCAGTGGAGTGGTACGTGTACCAGTGGAGTGGTACGTGTAATTAATGTACCAGTGAGAGAAATTAATTATATAATTAATGGGGGTGATTTCGTTTTTCCCCAGATTCTTTCTCTTTTCCAATGTGGTGAGAGACCCCAAATTACAAGATTAAAAAAAATAAAAAATCAGTTTAATTAATACTTGCCAATGATCGGAAATAAAATTGGCCAATCATAAAGGGGGTGTAAAAAATCACTACCCCTTTAGGGGTAGTCACGCTAACTTATCCCAACATGCTACAGGTTAGATCCATGCCAAAGATCGAGTGCGTTTGAAGAAAGAGAAAGTAAGATAGGGTTTCGTCCGCAAAACCTGTTTTCGTTAGTAGGTATCCATGATTAGGGGAAATTAATTCAGGCTTACACGCCAATGGTGAGAGATTGGAAGCGAATCGCGATATCAAGAACAAAACCATCTTAAGGTGGATTGTCATGTAAGTAATTTACATGGTCATGTGTGTTTAGTTACCAATTAGAGGTGACAAATGGGTTAGTGGATTCATAGATAAAAGTATTATCTCAATCTTGAATCATCATGAAAATTTCAGGTATTAAAATGTTATCTTCAAAAATTTAGGTACCAAAACATAATTTCCAAAAATATTTGTCATTAGTTTATAGATTTTAAGTATCGAATTTGAATATAAAGAATTGTAAGTACTAAATTGTAATATTTTTCAACAATCCATAAATCCGT